AAATAAATAAATAAATTTAAAAGTGTAGGCAGTCTGAGCTGGATGAAGTAATTTGGATCCAAATACTTTACAACTTAAAACAAGCAGCTGAAACACTCTGGAAACTAGTACAAGTGGTGTAGTATGATGACGTTTCCTAGTACCTATAGAAAGCAACTATTTATTTGTTTAAGATCATCTGGGGAGGCCCTGTCCTCGGTTCCGCCTTCTTCATAGGCACAACTGGTGGGTACGAGAGACAGGGCCTTCTCAGTGGTGGCCCCTCAGCTGTGGAACTCCCTCCCTAGGGATATTAGATGAGCCCCTTCCCTTCTAACCTTCCGCAGTAAAGTGAAGACATGGCTAAGCCTTTGGGAACCTAGTGCAATAGATACACACAACTATGTGAAACTGAATACTGGAATGGCTTGTATGATGTTTTTGGACGGCAAGGCTAATAGTAAATATAGCGGTTTTATACGTTTTTAAAAGTTTTAATGTATGTATTTTATAATTCTGTTTTAAATGTTTATTGTAATTTTTACGTTGTTTTAATGGCATTGAATAGCTGCCTATGTTGTAAAGCCGCCTTGAGTCAGCTTAGGGTTTGAGAAAGGCAGGGTAGAAATATCGCAAATAAATAAATAAATTTCCTGGAAATTTGCAGCTCATTAATGGCTGACAGCCCATGGCTTGGCACTAGTCCACAGAGTACCACTTTGAAAGCACTAGTTAAGAGCACCAATAATTTTCATTGATTTCTGCCTCTGGTTTACAAAACAAATACAGTTGACAATGATGCACATATAACTGTCATCCCAATTATATGTGCATCATTGTCAACTGTATTTGTTTTGAGAGAGAGGTGGGGGGAGAAGGTCTATTTTACCTCACCTACTTTGAGAGAGAAGGTCTATTTTACCCCACCTACTTGAATACACCAGCCTTTAAAACAGGTCCTACCTCAGCTATGCCCTCTACTGTCTTCTACCCTTTCTCGAGATAAAGGAGGCTACATTGGCTTGTATCAGGGAATGCTAAGGTATTTCACTGCCTAAAGCCAAGCATAAGATGATACCTTCCCCAATTCCATGTATGGAAATGAACTGGACACCTCAATGCCAATGACATGAGAATACCTCCTGCTGCATTTTTTGGGGGTAGAAGGCCAGTTCAGGCCATGTGGCACACAGAGGTCTGTCCTCTGCCAACAAGCTATGCCACGCAGGAGAAATGGATGGTAGATACCAGAATTTGCTGCCTGTGGCTAATAACTGGGCTGGGCCTGGAAGGGAGACTTAAAGGACAGGAGACAGCAGCAGCTAAACTGGGATTTTTCAGTGTCTAAGTTGAATGCCCAGATCCTGTCCTTCTTGAAGTTTTCCAAAGATGTGGGTAGAAGCCTAGTTTTAAAAAGAACTGATTGCTTTTCAGTATCAGTTTCATGGAGGGTTGTACAAAGAAGTTAAGGGAGATGGGAAGATAAGGGAGATGGAGATAATATTTGTTTACAAACTTAGTTCTTGATTTGTACGCACTGGTTTGTAGGACCAACCCATGGCACAGTGTTTTCTTTTCACTGTGTTGCTGGCGATATGCCATCCAGATATTGGAATCAGTCAACTGTTGAGGCTATCAAGAGAAAACCACTTACCTAGGTTAGCGTAATAGTAAGGAAAATCTCCCAGATATGATGAATACTGTGGCAGTACAAATAACCCACCAGGGTGTTTATTCCATATTAAGCTGTTACGTGATATGTGCTTAAATATTCTGTCTTGAATAATCTGAAAAAAGAGAGAAAAATAAATCGTTCTTAAGAAGGCTCTAATGAGAAATGGAAGAGGCGGAAGCGCCTGCTCAAGACAGCAGTTGCCGCACCTTTTGTAAAAGCCAGCAAGAGGCAGATTATTTAGCATTCCTGTTTAATCTTCTTTCCTTTCTTTTCTATTAAACAGCCCAGGTGATGCTGAAATTGTGCATATTCCTGAGGGCTCGAAGTCTTGTATAATGATATTCAAAATACCTCATTAGTTGCTGCAGACACTCTGGCAACCCTGCAACTTACTGGATGCTTTATTTTGAGTCAAAATATTTTTAGTTTTCAAAGTGGGCATGTCAGTTACGAGGCTGATTAATCCAGACTAATATTTTGCCTTCAATGTCCTGCATAATATAATTATTCTCGTGGTATATTTAGACAGGATGAGAACCTTCTTGGAATAGCAATAACTTATACTTTCACCTCCCTCTCCTCGTCTCCCACCCGCAAACACACAAACAATATTGTGCCAGAAAAGCAAATGGAATGGAACAAAACATAAGGACAGCACCATGTTTTTGGCTCAAGACATACTGACATTGCTGCCCCACTTGAATACACCACTGGGATTTCAGGTAGGGTGGAAGGAAGCAAAATAATTCATTTGGATGCAGAATGTTGTGCTAAAAGAATTTCAGAATTTAATTTTTAAATGTTAAGATTTCTAAAATGGGTGCCTTTGGGTAAGTCCTTTTTTTCGTGTCAGGAGTGACTTGAGAAATTTCAAGTTGATTCTGGTGTGAGAGAATTGGCAGTCTGCACAGACATTGCCAGGGGACATCCGGATGTTTTTAATGTTTTACCACCCTTGCAAGAGGTTTCTCTCATGTCGCTGCATGGGGAGCTGGAGCTGACAAGAGGGAGCTCAACCCACTCTCCCTGGATTTGAACTGCTGACCGTCGATCAGCAAGTCCTGTCGGCACAAGGGTTTAACCTGTTGCATCTGGTAAAATATGTTCCATCAACTATTTGAGACCAGGCCTGGGGATTTCAACGGCATGAACAGATCCAGATTCCTCCCAATGATGAGCAGTAACAAAATATATTAAACAAATGAGTATAAATGACATGTTCACTTGAATTACGCTGTTTTCCTTCAATCTGAATAAAAGCCTGGACAAAAAAGTGTAGTTTTCTCTAGCAGAGGAAACAGAATTCCCTCTGCACCAAAAGAAAGTCTTTTAAGATTCAACAGAAGCAGCATCAACCAAGGGAGGGTTTATGAAGGTACAAGTCAAATTGTTGGGATATAAAACACAACCTGAGCCTGGGAATGAGTTACACTGATGTTTACAAAGAACAGGAAAAATGGTATAGAAGCATTAAGGGGTCCTAATCCATTGAGCGATTTAAAGGTCAGCTTGAACAATAAGAGTTAGGTTTGCAAACAAACCGACAGACAGTAAAGCTCTTGCAAAACCAGTGTAGTATGATTCTATCTGTTTATACCAACTATAATACAGCGGGTCTTGCTATCCACTTGGGTTTAGTTTCAAGACTCCCTGTGGGCACCAACATTCAAGGATGTTCAAGTCCTATTACATATAATGGTGTGTATAAAATGGCAAGGTTTAATTTGGGGATTTTAAAGAACATTTCCAAGCTGTTGATGGTGGAATCCGTCAGGAATTTGTGGATACAGAGGACAAACCGTACTGGCTACAGGGCTCTGTATTACCTGAAGTATCCAAGACACCTTCCAGGACAGGAACAATGTATTACAATAATCTAGCAGAGACATTACTCAGAAATAATCTCCATTGGCTACCTAGATTATCCCTCAGGAAAGTCACTTCTAGCAATGTATGTAGCTGACCTAAATCTCAAATGACAAGACTGGGCAAAGGTGTGCTCCCACTTTCCTTGCTTGCTCTTTCAGGGGAAGTGTAAATCTATCCAGAAGATGTAGCTAATTGACTTCAGAACATGAAAACTACCTACCCACAGATTTCGCTTTACCAGGCCTCAGTTTATTAACCTTTGTCGAGGCTATTAGCAAATTTAGACGTTAGAACACCAACACCACCTGCACATTATCCTGATATGATGAAAGATATCTAATTTTGCTCAGCATACATTTTGCACACCAATTTCACCTTGCAAGTATACACAGATGATTTTTAAAAAGCACATACACACTGTTCACTATTTCAAAGTAATGTTTCATAGTGGCTTGTATTTAATGCTCTTTTTTCTATTTTGGAAAGTTTTTGGTTGTCAAAGTTCATTACTATGGATGTATTGTTGTGTTCAGGCATTGAATGTTTACCTTTTCTGTTTGGAGTCCCTCCGGGGAGATAGGGCAAAATGTAAATAAAGTTTTATTATTTTATTATTGTTGTTGGTTCTTTTGAAGTAACGTGTGAACTGCATTGCGTCCCTTATGGGAGAAATGTGGCATGTTAAATAAATAAATGGGGAACATGAAAAACACATGCAGAATCTGGGTTGTTGTAGGTTTTTTGGGCTGTATGGCCATGTTCTAGAACATAGCCATGCTTCTAGAACATGGCTATACAGCCATGTTCCATAGATTTAATGATCCACAGCTTGAAAGTATATATTTTAATACAAAGCAAATGATAAACCTCAGTGACACTATTTTATTATGCAATTGCATATAACAGAAGTTTGAATCCAGAGATTTTGGCATCCGGGGGGTGAGAGTGATTCGAAAACCAAATTCCAGTGGATATTATAAACATACACAGTTTTTCTGTGTATAAAACACATTTTCCAAGCAATGTATTTTCTATGTAGAAAACATATTCTTTGTGCAGAAACACATTCAAATTGTAATGTGAACTCTACAGAGTGAGAAACCATAGTATGCGGCTGATCCTTGCAACCATGCTAAAGTTAATAAACTAAGAGGTCATTCGCATGAGCTCCAAAATGGAAACTCTGTAAGAAGGAACCTGCAAATTCTTCAAATAAAAGGAATTGGTGAGGAACCACATCTGTTTGACTGTGTAGGAAACATCTTTCTATGTAATACAATCACACAGAAGATAACTTCCCGAAACACAACAAAACGTAAGGCAGCCTTGCAGCTGCCTGCCTTCTTCCTGATGCATTTCCTTGAGCATTCAGAAATGCTATTTTTTGTTAAGAAATGGGGGGAAAACCCACTTCTTTCCACCTTTTCCCTATAACTTTTCAAATGCAAACCAGAGCATGAAAAATTATTTCTTGCCTCTTAACTCAAAAAAATCAGCCAAAGCAGTATGAGTTCTAGTGATTTGTTGTCCAAAACAATTTCTCAAGCTCTGATGAAAACTATCTTACCTTTTCTTTTTTGTTATATGTGTCACACAGAAGGGGAGTCATGCAGAGATAACTGAGGCTCCCTGTGAACCATGGTAAAGGAAGCTGATAAGAATCAACACATTTGAACTATGGTGCTAGAGGAAAGTTCAACAAACTGCTGAATGGACAAATGAATGGATCCAAGAACAAAACAAGCCAGAGTCCTCCCTATAAACCAAGGTGACTATACTAACATACAAGAACATATAGAAAAGACCATATGTATAAGGAAAGTTAGAAAGCACTAAGAAAAACAAAAAGTAGACAGTCTCAATCAAAGAAGTCTGTAAGAAGTCTCCAAGATGAATGACTTGGAGATATTTCATCCATAGAGTCACCGTAAGTCAAAGTTAAACATCACTAACAAATCATGTTTTGTACATTGCAAGCCAACCTTCTCAGTCCTGCTTTCCCACTTTAAACACCGATTTGTGGATTACCAGAAGTTGGTGGATTTCAACTTCCATTATTCTTGACCACTGTCTATAGTTGGCTGTGGTAAAGGAAACTAAAGACCAAGGGCCCTTTCACATAGCCCTATATCCCAGAATATCAAGGTAGAAAATTCCACAATATCTGCTTTGGACTGGGTTATCTTGAGTCCACACTCGGATAATGTGGGATTTCCTGCCTTGATATTCTGGGATATAGGGCTGTGTGCAAGGGCCCCAAGATCACTGGTTGCAGTGACATCAACGTAGATACTTTGGTAGATTTGTGTTTGGAAAATATGGGTTGAAATGAATGTATAAATCCCTAATTAACATAGTGACTACTGATCAACTTTACCCATGACTGCTGTGGGTGAACACTGCTACAATCAAGTCATGTTTAAAGAAGAAATGGGAAGTAAGCATGGGATTTACTCCAGAAAAAAGATGGAGAAGTGAGTGTATCTACACAGTGTACCTTGCTCAGAAAAACAGAGAGGGAGAGAGAGGCATTGTTCTGGAATAATGTGAAACCATGGCTCAATGCTATGAGCAGGAACACCCACAAATACCCCTAGGCATCCCTTTTGCTTAATGTGTGTGGAGACTAGATCTCGGAGAGAAGCAGACAGAGACATAATATTTGTTCGTGAAGGAGTGTAATATTTGGCCAATGTGCTGCACAAATATTTCTGAAATTGTGGTAAATGCATTCCATTTCTCAGCGGCATTTCCTGACAGTTTTCTGTCATCTCTCTTTTTCATCTGAAATAGCTTCTGCCTCAAGTACGGTATTTCCAACCTCTAGGGACCACTCAAAGGCCACCAAAACACATTGGGTTTTAAAATCTTGATTGTGGAGAGAGAAGATTTGTTTGTTTGTTTTAAGATAGCACTTCTTCAAGAAGTGGTTTTTCCAGAAAGTTTCTTTAAAAAAACCTATTTTCAGGAATGACGCAAATACTGATTTATCAGCCATAAAGCCTCCAAGAATCCGCTAGTCTAGGCAAGGCAGCCTTCCTCTGCCAGCCGAATGGCTTTCCCATTTGTCACAATGTCATTTTCTTCTAATACCAATCCTAGTAACAAAGAACATATTTCCTTAGGGGAGAAAAGTTATAGAGCCACTAAAGGTCTTTCCTCTGCCCTTATTCTCCCCAACATAAATTAAACAGACAACATATATACACAAACACATCTCTTTCAATGTAACCTGCCAGCATGCTCCCCAAGCCAAGGTCAGATGAGGCAAAAAGATGCCAGAGCTTCAGTTCTAATATCTGAGAATTGTTACTCACCTCTAGTGTGGTCAATACAATCTTCTCAACCGAAGAAAAATAAGCCTCCCACAAGAACTGTGTCTGCTGTCTAAGTGCTAGGATTTTATCCTGATGGATAGACCTGATTGTAGAAGGGATCTGTAATACAATGTTGAAACAAATCAGACAACACGGAAAACATTGCAACCCGAGAATGTTAAGGCACTACTGGGGGCCTTTCTAGATGATTCATTTATAGCACAATCACTTTAAGTTTTATAGATCAGTGTACAGTGGATTTGGCTCTCATTTGCTGCACACAGTCCACAGAGCCAGATGACAAAAGCAGTGATCACAGTAATTGGAAAACAGTTATGTCTGTTAACGTGGCTTCTCATTTCCACGTCCTATAGGAAAGTCTGTGCTTCCACTTTAATCACAAAGCACAGGACAACTTGCAATTGTTATCCGTCTGAAGCATTTTCACAAAACTTCTTTTACCACATGTATACTGAATATAGGCAGCCACATCTATATACAACTTGATATAATAATAATAATAATAATAATAATAATAATAATAATAATAATAATTTGATTTTTGTACCCCACCTCCATCTCCCCTAAGGGACTCAGGGGGGCTTACATGGGGACAAGCCCGATCAACATAGTTAAAATAACACATTAAAATTCATAAAAACAGCAACAAGCAGGGAGATCAGACAGGCTCCATTTTCTGTAAGGAATTAAAAATTTGGCTATTGTGCCTTTGATTAGACAGTTCACCACAGAATTTCCCAAGCTATCCAGCTCCTGCACTTCAATATAGTCCCTTTCTGGCACTTCTAACACTTTAATAGCCTAAGGACATTTGCCTCCTAGCCCAGCCCTCCGACTGTCACACTTTCCCTGGCTCTTCTTAGGATTAATTGCACTTAGTTCATTGCACGAAATGCAGAGCCAACCTAAAGAAATGGGGCTACAAAGTGGAATCCATGACATGCGAGTGTGGAGAAGAGCAAACTACAGACCACCTGCTGCAATGCAACCTGAGCCCTGCCACATGCACAATGGAGGACCTCCTTGCGGCAACACCAGAGGCACTCCAAGTGGCCAGCTACTGGTCAAAGGACATTTAATCAACTGCCAAGCTTGCAAACTTTGTGTTTAGTTAGTTTGTTTAAAAAAATGCAATGCAACTGTTTGGTCTGCCCCTGACACGATAAATTAAAAAAATTGCACTTAGTAATTATGAACCGAACCCAGCACTTTATTTGCTCAGCCATGATAGCTTTTAATCGCTTTTATAATGTTGTCTGATTTTATGTTTATTGATGTTTGATACAGCTTATTTTTGATGCTTATTTTAACCTGTTTTGTTGGGGAGTCCCTTTTGAAGCCGTCCCGAGTCCCTTTGGGGAGATGGAGACGGAGTATAAAAATAAAGCTGTTGTTGTTGTTATTATTATTATTAAAACAACAACAACAATGGCTTAACACAATATAAAACAACCATCAAACAGATAACCAGTAACCTAAGATGTGTAGATACCTTTTACTGTGTAGATACCTTTTGCTTTAAAAGTATGACTCCCCAGGATGCAAATCACCTTTGATTAGGCATGGAGGAATGACCACGCAAGTCTGGCTTTAGTTCAATTCTGAACTACATGACTTTCAGGTATTTTGTTGATCTATTCTATAACAACTTGCATGTGCATAAAGACAACAAACAGAAGGGAAGCTGTTTCAAATACCTTTGTATTCTGTACTTTCTATTTATTCCATTATTATTTTAAGTTACCTCTCTAGAAAGGAGTGGGATCAATTATACTGACCAACACATATTTTTGTGTCTCAGATGTTAACTCCTGTTTCTGGGTATATCTGACTTGCTGATTCCAAAAATGTATTTATTTACTACATTTATATCCTGCCCGCCTCACCCTGAAGGGGACTCAAGGCACCTTATATTATTCAATGCCCAAACAACAACAATTAAACGCAATTAAACATCATTGAAGCAACATACGTAAACATTTGACAACTATTGTGCATATATCCAAAGCCAGATCATCAGATAATCCTATTTATTAATCCAAAGCCAATTCCAACTGTATTGCACAGATAATTATGCTGGGCCAAATGCTTGCTCCCAAAGCCAAGTTTTCACTTGTTTGCAAAATGATAGGCGAAAAGGGGTCGACCTAATCCCATTAGCAAGGGAAAATGGCACTTGTTCCACGCTATCAGCTCTGGTTTGTGACATACTGAACATATGCCCTCTACTAGAAAACCATGATAACCATATCTAAGCAACTTGGGCTGACGTGGTCTACCCAATGCAGTTTTCTGAATCAGCACCCCAAGAACAGGCCTAAAAATGAAGACACCAAGATTATTTTATTGATTTGGCTGTGTATATTATTATTTGGGGGCATGTTTATTTTAGAAAGGCACTATAACCTATTTTCTCATTTTACTGCTGCATTCTTCAAAAGACTTTGAAATAATTCATGGATTTTTTCCCCTGAGCTAATTATGCATGAAGCACCTATTGTTTGCTTTTGATTTGTGCCATTGTGCGTTTTCCACTTAGATATTAGATTATAACTAGCAAATGTCATTTCACTCATTTGTGCTCTCTCGCAGTAAAAAAAAAAATCCCAATAAAATATTCTTAATTAGAATACATCTGTTCTCTGCGTAATCTTATGGCATTCCAATGGGGAGGGGTAACAGCTTGGTAGCAACAACGTCCTTATGTCAAGTGCACTGTTTGAATATACACTTTGCATGAGGTTCAACAAGATATAACCCAATATAAAGCACTAAGGCATTCTAAATGGGATCGTTTTAGCACTAGGTAAGCTTATAATTAAAGTCAGACATTAATATCAAGGGTTTGAAACAATGATGATTAGCACTCAGTGCTTTGAAAAGTTTATTTCAGACTGCAGTTCCCTCAGCCAACATGGGCACTGACCATTATCTGGGGGAACAAGGATACAACAACTAACCTTTGCAAGTTCTGCTGGTGTTTCTGTAAATGGCATGGCTAGAAGGACAAGGATGCCAAGGTCTATCAACACTATGGTGGTGTCATGTGGACCTCAGATCAAGTAATAAAGCATTTGATTTAATGCAAATAGATCATGGTCAAAAGGGCTTTATTGATCCGCAAATTCTCCTTTTTGTTCAAAGAGTTTGAAGGAGAGGGCTGTCATTGTTGTGTCCCTTCAATCTTCAACCTATAAAAAACCCTAAGGCAAACTTTCATGAGACTTTCTTGGAAAGGTTTGTTTAGAAAGGGTTTCCCAGTCCTTTCTTCTAAGGCCAAGAATGTGACTTCCCCTGTGGGCTTCTATTGCTATCCCAGTATTTATTTATTTACTCTGTTTGTATCCCTCCTTTCTTACCCCGAAGGAGACTCAAGGTGGTTTTACATATGGCAACTATTCAATGCCTTTTGACAACAGTTAGAATACACTTAAGTGAACAATTAAAATTAAAATTAAATGCACATTAAGGCATATATAACATTGCATTCACTACTAAAATCACACCATCTTCAATCATAATCCGGAGCCGTTCCAAGATCAATTGCATGCATTATTGCACTATAGATTAATCTCCAAAGGCTTGACCCTAGAGCCAGGTTTTCATTTTCCTTCTGAAGGCCAGGAGGGAGGGAGCTGCTCTAATATCACTGGGGAGGAAGTTCCACAGCCAAGGGGCCATGACCGAGAAGGCCCTGTCTCACGTTCCCACCAAACAGACCTGTGACAAAGGTGGGACTGAGAGCAGGGCCTCTCCAGATGATCTTAATCTCCGCGATGGTTCATTGGAGGAGATACGTTCCTAGTCCATCACTCAAACCACTACACCACTGGCTCTCTATGAAGGAGAGGGCACCTCAATATCAAACAGAGTCAAATCTGAGGGGTTGTGATATTTGGCCATGATCAGGGATGCAGTTATGATTCCTGAAGTGTGTATGCAGGTGTAGTTCTGCTCAGGTGCTGCTGATAAACATCCTGTATATCTGCATTCAGTCACATGAAAAAGGCTGCAGGACCTGCAGATGATGTGTTAATACAACATATCCTGCCAGATACATAAAAAATCGTTGGTTTACGTATAACAGATGGGAATGGAAATCAGAGCTCCCATTTTTAACTGCCTTTGCCCATTTGCTATTACTTTTCTTGGCCTAGAACTAGATTTGGGGCAACACTGAATCAGCGGTGATCTGCCGCAAATAAAGGAGAATTATTAGAAAGGGACAACATTTTAATAGCCCATCATATTATTGAAATATTGGGGAAACAAGCGGGGGAGAGACAAGGTGTAAAAACAAAGGCGGGGAGCCCGGCTGAAGCTTCAATGGAGCCGGAGCGGTGTGAGGCTGACGTGAATATGTAAATAAAAACATCCGAGCTCATCTAAAACGGGAAATGAGAAACTGTAACAACAAAAACATTTCCCAGAGCAGACATTTGGGCTAGGTGCCAGCTCTTTAAAAACCACTGTTAATAACACTGCAGCAGCACCAGCCCCAAGTTAGGAAGCAGCTGCAAAGAGAATCAATTCTGCATTACGGGAAGAGACAAAGAGCAGAATGTTAAGGCACCTATATAGGGAACGGAGAGGTTGTGGGGAAGAAGGACATTTGGAATTGCAGCCAACTCAACTCTACCTTCACTATCTTCTGCAACGCAGGAATTCCCAGTTTTGTAACTAGTGGTGTCAATTTTCCAATCTGGCCAAACTGAAACCTTTCGATTGAATGAATATGCCATCACATGCAAGTGCTTAAGTGTGCTCCTTGAGGGCTGCCCTTGAGAAGTGTTCAGACACAACAGTTAGTGCAAAATGCAGCAGCCAGACTTGTGTCAGGTGTTCATTTTAGAGACATATAACACTGGCTTTAAAAGAGCAAAATCCAAGCTTCTCATCCTGACCCAGAAAGACTGAAAATATATCTGAACTAAGAGAGTTAAACGACTGCCTTCTCCCATATGAGCCCTGAAATCTGAGGCCCTCAGTAGAAACCTTGTAAAATATCCCAAACCTTGTGAGGCTAGACTATTGGTCAAGTGTGACAAGGCTTTCTCCATGCAAAAATGCTGACAATGAAAGTTCCTCCTTAAGACAGTGGTTCTCAACCTGTGAGTCCCGAGGTGTTTTGGCCCACAACTCCCAGAAATCCCAATCAGTTTAGGATTTCTAGGAGTTGATGGCCAAAACATCCAGGCACCCACAGGTTGAGAACCACTGTTCTAAGAGAAGTTAGATCAGCATCATCCTTTCTGAGTTGCCATCTGGCCACTTTTTTTTGTATCAGGAGCGAATTGAGAAATTGCAAGTAGCTCCTGGTGTGAGAGAATTGGTCATCTGCAAGGACATTTCCCTGGGGACACCCGGATATTTTGCTTGTAGGAGGCTTCTGCCATGTCCCCATATGGGGAGCCGGAGATGACAGAGGGAGCTCATCTGTGATCTCTCCGGATTTGAACCTCCGACTCATCGGTCTTCAGTCCTGCCAGCACAAAGGTCATACCCATTGCGCCACAGGGGGTGTAGGTCACTTACATTGTGGTATTTCTCTTGGCTTCTGGGTCTTATGTTTTTAATTGTTGGTGTTTTAATAATTATTTTCAAATAGGAGCGTTACAAGTTTTAGTTTTAAAATGTTTTAATTCACGTTTATAATATTTTCAGTATGTTTACCCAATGTACAGAGGAAGTGGCTTGATAGGCTGAGATGTGGTAGAAAATGTAAGCAAGCAAACAATAAATATTTTGCTTTTTTGTTGACATCCTCCTATATCTGTCAGGAAACAGGGAAGGACTAAAAACAAGGAGACACAAAACAAAAAAAAAACCCATACATGGTTGGATGCAGAATTGACCCTGCTTCCACAATGGCTCTCAAATGGAAAAAGAAAGAAGAACAGAAGGCTTAGTAAATTCCTCCTTCCTTCCACTGTATATATATATATATGAATGTATGTATAAAAGTAAAGGTTTTCCCCTGACATTAAGTCTAGCCGTGTGTGACTCTGGGCGGTGGTGCTCATCTCCATTTCTAAGCCAAAGAGATGACATTGTCTGTAGACACCGTCAAGAATATGTGGCCTGTATGATGGCATGGAGTGATGTTACCGTCCTGCAGAAACGGTACCTATTGATCTACTCACATTTGCATGTTTTCGAAATGCTAAGTTGGCAGAAGCTGGGCCTACAGCGGGTGCTCACCCCACTCTTAGGTCAGCAAGTTCAAGCTCAGAGGTTTAATCTGCTGCGCCACCAGGGGGCCAAATGTATACATGTATTTAAATACTTATATTCCATCCTCAATCCAGAGATCTCAGGATGGCATGTAATTTAGAATAGTGTAAAAGTTTAAAAGGACAAGTTTAAAAGACAGATTAAAACAGTTTAACTAGTTTAAAGCTATTTACAACCATGCGCATGTGAAGGTTTCTGTAAAATTAATTAAGCCCCCAAAACTTTAGTGAGCTGCTGTGTGAATAATTCCTAAAGCAACAGATGTACCAGCTGCTCCTGATTTTATCTTTCTACATTCCTGCATGAAATGACTTGAACCACACCACCTGGATTGATAGGTGAACTAGAATTTAGTTATCTTTTGGATATTTCACTTCACTGAATGCCTCAATTCAGTTTCCTGCAATTGAAAGGTATCGCCACAAATGCTGAAATACTGAAAACACATACAGACTAATAAACAAATTTAAATATAAACTTTGAGTGCACTTATTAATTACTGCAGATGTGGGGAAGAAACAGAGGGTGACTGAGATTATTCATCCATTCAGAACCATAAAATTAGATTTTCCCCCCAAACTATGAATGTTTTTAAGGTGCCGGTAACTTTCCATTCCAGATGCTTAGCAACTTTGGAGGTCTTGTGCATATCTATAAAAAGAAATCAGATGTGCCTACAATTTTTAACCAAGACATTTGGAGGCCCAAGTGACCTTCATGTCAGAGAGTGAATGATGCCTTATTAAATGAGTTAATATTCACAATGACACAGACAAATCCCTCCCGATAAAAATCTCTTTTATAGCCGTGACCTTTTGGATACATCTTTCCTGGAAGTGTAGTGGATGGCTGTCGTTGTCAACCAATCTGATGAAGGCCACACAGCCTTTCCCCCCCTGTCTCCTTACCTGTAATAACAATCTCTCATCCCCTATGACGGCAGCTTGATTCCAATCAATCACTTCGGAGAATGGCAACTCCCATCCGTTGCTGAGCATCACAGGAACACAGGCAGCCTGCGTAGGGTCATTAACGTCAGAGGAGTGAAAGAAAGAGAGGAAAGCAGTCGTGGGTTGGCACTTCAAGGATTGTGACAATCACTGAAAATTATTACAGAAGTACAAGGACCACTAAACATGCTATGTTTCATAGACCTGGCTTGATGGTATCTGCTGGGATTTGGTTCCAGGAGCTCATGTGGGTATCAAAATCCATGGGTGCCCAAGTTCTATTATATACAATGGCATCGTAAAATTGTGCCCCTTATATAAAATGGCAAAATTAAGGTTTGCTTTTTGCATATTGTTTTTGGCAGGAGGAACATTTTCAAACCTATGGTTGAACCTATGGATACAGAATCTGTGAATACGGAGGGTCGACTATATCAGATTCAATATTGGAAAATCCACACGTTCAGCTAAAACATAGACTGAGAAACTGTTCAAGCAACTCACTTTTGCTTACTCCCTCTAAAATAGCAACGTAGCCCCTAATTCTGACAGGTCGGTCTGTCTTACAGTTTCTGATGAAACTGCCTAAAGACACTTCCAAAATTGGTCCCTCTCCCCATGTCAATCATTTGAGCAGAGCAGGCTATGGCTCTCATATGATCCAAAATAGCAATCAAAGAAATGTTCAAGCTGTGTGGGAATCTATGCTCATGTTCTCAGACACCCAAGCTCTACAAACTGGCATGAGTAGAGGTTGGAAAAAAATAGATTTCTGGATTATAATTCTCAGAATCCATCATGGTGAGAAGACATATGAGATCTTGAGAGCTGTAATCCTACCTTCCCTTATAACTTCCCAAGCTCTGCACCCCAAGATGATGCCTGCCTTGCAGCCCTTCCAAAACATAGATGTCTTCATGCATATAATATTCAAAGGAGCCTAATATCTAGGGTGTTATAGTCTAATATCTACCTTGGTACTAAAAACAAAAGTAAAATGTTGCCTTCCATGGCTGTAGTTTTCAAAAAGATAGCTGTTGGTTTAGGCATATAATACAAAATAAGGAATCAGAAAGCACCTTTGAGACTGTATACTTTTAGCTTGTGCTTCCTTTGGGTATCAATCCACATCTTTGCTGTTTGATTTCTTAGTTTCCATTATTAAGTACATTGAGAAAATCACACGAGCTTTCATGATTCTGGGAGTTATAGCTTCCCATCTCTCACAATAACTTTTTCATGTTCTACTCATTTACATTTTTATTGTGAATGTTTTTGAATTGGCTGTCTGGAGGAGCCATCTTAAGTCCCACTCTGGGAGAAAAGACATACACAAATGAAATAAATAGATAAAATACCGTATCTCTAATATTTACTACGTGAAATACTACCAGAAGGAGGTAGGGTTGAGCACAGATGTTGCAAGACCCAGGCACAGGATCTAACAGGTCCTTCACCATGATAAATTAAATCAGTGGGTCTGGAGAAACCCAGAGTCCTTTCACACTACACCACTATATTTCATTTCAATGATTATGGCTAAGTTGAATGGTATTCTGAGATTTGAAAGGTAGGAATTCTCTGCTGGAGAGTTCTCTAGTACCTCACCAACAGCTATGATTTCATGGGATAGAATCACAGAGTTGGAAAAGACCATGTGGGCCATCCAGTCCAACCCCCTGTTAAGAAACAGGAAAATTGCATTCAAAGCACTCCTGACAGATGGCCATCTACTGTCTGTTTAAAAGCCCCCAAAGGAGCCTCCACCATACTCTAGAGCAGAGAATTCCACTGCTGAACAACTCTCACAGTTTGTTTGTTTATTTATTTATTTTACAGTATTTCTATCCCGTCTTTCTCAACCTGAAGGCGACTCAAGTTAGGAAGCTCTTCCTCATGTTCACGTGGAATCTCCTTTCCTGTAGTCTGATGCCATTGCTTTGCATCCTAGTCTCCAGGGCAGCGGAAAACAAGCCTGCTGCCTCCTCCTATGACTTCCTATCATATATTTATACATGGCTATCATGTCTCCTCTCAGTCTTCTCTTTTGCAGGCTAAACATGCCCAGCTCTTTAAGCCGCTCCTCATAGGGCTTGTTGTCCGGATCCTTGGTTGTTTTAGTCGCCCTCCTCTGGGCACATTTTAGCTTAGAATCAACATCTCCCTTCAAATGCGGTGCCCAGAACTGGACATAGTATTCCAGATGTGGTCTGCCCAAAGCGTAATAGAGGGGTAGCATGACATCCACGGATGTAGACACTAGAGTCCTATTTATGTTTATCGTCTGGCCCAGCTTACTTGTCCGAATGCATCACCCTCTACGTCCTGCCTCACAGTTTAAGATCATCCGGGGAGGCCCTGCTCTCATTCCCGCCAGCGTCGCAAATGCGGCTTGTGGGGATGAGAGACAGGGCCTTCTCAGCTGTGGCCCCCCGCTTATGGAACTCGCTTCCCACAGAGGTAAACTCGACTTCATCCCTCCTGTCTTTCCACAAAAGATTGAAGTAATGGTTCTGGAACCAGGCTTTTGGACAGCAGGCATAAAAAGCACTTTGGATATGAATTTCGACTGGAATGATGATATGGCTGTTAATACTGTGTTTTTACTGTTTTATTGCTTGTAATGAATGTTCTATTTATTATAGTGCTTTGTTATATATAGTGGCATCTAATTGCTGCCAAATGTAAGCCATCCTGAGTCCCTCTTCAGGGTTTGAGAAAGAACGGGGTAGAAATACTGGAAATGAATAAATAAATAAATATGCAGGCCAAAATTTCATTGGCTTTTTTAGCTGCCACATGACATTGTTGGCTTATGTTTAACTTGTTGTCCATGAGGATTCCAAGATCTTTTGCACACCTACTGGCCTCGTTTCCCATTCTGTATCTTTCATTTTTTTTTCTGCCTAAGTGGAGTATCTTGCATTTGTCCCTGTTCAACTTAATTTTGGTAGTTTTGTGTTGGCGAGGCAGAGAATGTTATCATTACAGTTCAAATGACACAACAGCTGTTACTACTTGCTCTAGGAAAGAGGAAAAACTAGTCTGATCTGCTCAGTGGTTCATTGTGCTGAATCTGCAAACCAAGTATCAACTGGAAGAAGCGTACAAATACAGGATTACAAGCTGTTAGCGAAATGAAATTTCCAATACGCCTTCGCCTGCTTCAATACCAAGCAGCACACAACTCCCATCAACAGGAATGCTCCATTTCTCCAAGTCTGATCTTACCTGCAGGGCCTCGAGGAACCTGAAGGATCCAAGCCTCCGGCCACGGGGGACCAGACAGAAAGTGGCATTGTGCAGCATTTCACGATAATCATACCTAAGCAAACAGAGAGAGAGAAGGGAGGGGGAGAGGGGAATAATACATTAACAGCGAGTCCCAAAGTGCGTGAAAACATAACATCTGGTATAGTACATCTGGTTAGAATCATCCCTGGACGAAGCTCACATCTGTAAGCCTGACGTAACATTACAGGAGCGCAATGGTGAGAAAGGAGAGAAAGTGCAGAGCCACAGCGGTATAACCAGAGCACCATGGCAGGGGCCTTTAGCAGATGGGAATCTCCCCTGTTGTCCTACATTGGCAGGAAAATAATCTGTGGCCAAAACTGTGTGGAGACCAAATGGGGGAAGAGATTATATCTGCTTCCATGGCACAAACTATTGTTATAAACACAGTTGGGAGCATAGAGATATAGCATAGTGAAGCAGATTGGTTGAGTATCCCCTATCTGAACTGCTTGGGATCAAAAACCCTTTGGATTTTTTTTTTCGGATTTTGGAATAGCTATATTCATATCTACAGTAATATACCATATATACTTGAGTATAAGCCGACCAGAAGATAAGACGAGGCACCTAATTTTACCACCAAAAACTGGGACTCGCGTATAAGCTGAGGGTGGGAGATGCAGCAGCTACTGGTCAATTTCAAAACAAAAACAGATACCAATAAAATTACATTAATTGAGGCATCAGGAGGTTCAATGTTTTTGAATATTTACATAAAACTGTAATTTAAAATATAACTGTCCAACCCTGATTAAACAATTATTCTAATCTTCTTCAATGAAAATGTGCTTATGTATCCTTCCAATAATAATAGAGTAAAATAATAAATGTAATAACAATAATAGAGTAAAATAAATGCAATAATAATAGAGTAAAATAATAAATGTACTAACAATAATAATAAATTTAAATGACAAATGTAATAATACTGATGACAGAGTAAAATAATAAATAACCTTGACTCGAGTATAAGCCAAGGGGGCTTTTTCAGCCTAAAAAAGGGCTGAAAAACTAGGCTTATACTCGAGTATGTACAGTACCTTAGAAATGACACTGAAGTTTAGACTTTAAATCCATTTATTTCGTACATACTTTAAACTTCATACACATAGCCTGCAGGTAATTTTAAACACACTATTTTCTAAAGATGGGGTTTTTCCCCACTTGCATATCTTTCTCTTCTTAACATCCCACCTGGGGAAAAAACCCCACACACATATGGACTCAATCAGGACCAAAAACTTCCCTTAATGTACCAACAGATGCACATTTAGGGATACAGCAGCAGCATGCACTTTTGAAATATCCAGTTTCTGGCACAGCACGTTTTATGACCTGGTTGATGGCGATTTATCTTGCTTTGAAATGACAAATCAATTTGGAAATTGAAAAATCAACAACACCTCAGTACAAAGGACATCTGGAGCATACCTAATGAAGGCCAAGAGAGGAGGGTTGAGCCTGGCAGTGTGTGCCTAGGGAAGACGTAGTGCCAGAAGGAAACAGTAATATCAAACTATTTCTCCTGTGGAACTTGTCTTGTTCTTCAGTTCCTTGTAATACAAAGCACTGGAAAGATGGTAGGTTTGACCCAAGTGCTTGCAAATAATTATGATTAGTTTTTTCTAATTGATTTCAAAAGGACTACTCGGAATCTGAATGCCTCCCCTTTCTTGGATCTGGCTTTCAAACTGTTTTCTTTGGGTCAGAGGGTGTGAATACAGGCTATGTATTTCTTACCCAGAATTCAAAAATCCAAAATCCTCCAAAATCTGAAGTTATCCATCTGGGTCGCTGAGAAGGTGGCATACATTATTGCTATCAGATGTTTCCATATGAACAAATTTTGTTTCACACCCAAATTTATTTAAAATACTTTCAGGCTATGTGCATAGAGTTTATACAAAACAACAATGAATTTTGTATTTATATTTCAGTCCCATCTTCAAAATATCTTGTTATGCATATGTAGGTATTCCCAAATCTGAAAATAAAACCTGAAATATGGAGCATTTCTGATACTAAACGTTTCAGATAAGGGATACTCAACATCTACAATATTATTATTATGTGCCTTCAGGTCAACTCTGACTTACAGTAACTTTATCCTAAGGTCTTTTTGGAAAGATATATTCAGAAAATATTTGCAATTCCCTTCCTATGAGAAGCTGTACAAGATCATCCATTGGCCTTCCATGATTGAGTAGGGATTTGAACTATGGACTCTCAGAGAGTCCAACATAAAATCAATACATCACATTAGTTCTGAACGCTATCATACAACTATATAGAAAACACTCTGACTGTGCCAAGAGATGCCACAATAAATATATATATTTGTATGTGTTTATTTGTATGTGTTTATACACATACATAAACATAGAGATATTTCAATATGTCTGTACATACATAGACAGAATGAAAGAGACCTCCACATTCCTGGGTGACAGAAACAGCTGCAATTAATATCTGAATATTTATTTACTCATTTTGAACACCCACATTTGTTATCTATGACTAATGAATTCATTTAATACACCCTGTTAGCTGATCCATGCTTTCAGTTCTGGTTATAAATAGATTGAAAAGATCCACGAGAAAGTAAATTCATTGTCATTGGAGAAAAGAGGGCTGACAGCTAGTAAAACCCACCAAGAGCAATCAGGCACCAATACAAATGCTCCTTAATCAAAAAGGAAAGGATGAAAAATGACTAGAACCAGACACATTGGGTCAGGCGGGCCAAATTAGATGGGAAGGGGATGGAGGAAGGGGGGGGGGAGCAATTCTGTATCTTATGACATGAAGTTGTTTTGGAAATGGAGGAGAAAAAGAGCAAATCTGAATGTTGTGGTGCGAGGTTGGTTTGGAGAAACCTAGAAAGACATCTTGGCAACTAAACACAGAAGACAAATGCTGCCCCCTCTGTTTGCCATTCTTCAAAATTAAAGCATTCAGCTCAGACCCTACTGTTTTCTTTCCAAATCCATCCATCATTTCAGAACCATTTACCAAAAACACACATCAAACCCCTATCAGTTTCAAGCCAGTTATTAGCTAATTGTATTTCTGGCAATCCTGTAAAATGGCTCGGAACCTGTCAGCCGATTGTTTCCAAGACCAAAAGAATCACAGTGTAATACTTCCCCTCTGCACCTCCAATTCCTCCCTAACGAAAACAGCACAGAGATCCAGACACCCTGCCTCCATCTCGAGGAATTTCTGTATTCTGCCAAGAGATGCAATACTGACAGTGAAAAATCCTGGATGGAAATTTTCTCCAACTCCAATAATCTCATTTAATCATAGCCTGCAGGCACTGAATGTATTTTGTTTTCGGGTTTTAGCGGGGGAATGGAGGTATATATAGAAAGGTAAATCCAAATCTATTTTTGTTTTTATTCTTACAGAGGCTGAAAGTATGAAGTAAGCCAGTTTTCAATTACTGGTATAAGACTATCATATAGGAAGTTCCACTGCACTGAAAGAAATGTGCATAACCAGGGTGTATGGGAGAGGGGCAAAATTAAGGTATTACCTTCCCCAAGAATGTTGACATCTAATGAAATGTTCTTTTGGGCTCCAAATTACTATCATTGGAGGAATGAGGCACTGAAAATTATTCACCCCAAGAACTCTGTGTTGATAATCCCTTGGAAATGTTGCCTTCCCCTTTACCTTGGGGTGCCTAAACTTTATTTCCAAATGGTCCATTGAAGTTGTTACGTTGCTTCCATGCTAGGATTGTTGGGAACTGCAGGAAAGTTTCATGGGGAAAGGAGGAAATTTCCTTTGGAGATGCAATGACCCTATCTTTTCCTCATCGCTATAGCTTGCTATATAATACATTTAAAGAAAAAGGTCACTTGGATGGATTGAGATTACCGTATATCCACAGAGATTCAACAAGAAAAGAGCAAGCTTCCTTCTGCCATTTAGAACTACAAAGACCCCAAAAGAAAAAAGAACTATTCTCTTCATTTGGAAGACTATGTGTATATCAGGTATGGGCAAACATGAGGACCAGATGCACCCTCTTAGGCTCTTTTCTCAGGCCCTCCTCTCTCTCAAAATCCTATCCTTCCTTTCTTCTCTCTTTCCTTCCTTCCTTCCCTCCCTCCTTTCCTTCAACCCTTCCTTCCTTCCTTTCCGTTCCGTTCGTCTTTCCTTCATTTTCTCTTTCTTACCTCCCTCCCTTCCTTTCCATCCTTCTCTTCCTCCCTTTCTTCCTTCTTTTTTTCCTTCCTAATTTTCTCCTGGGGATGTTTAGCTGGGAGAAGAGAATGTAGAGTGGGAACATGAGAACCATGTTTCAAGATTTCAAAGGGTGTTCCATTGAGGAGGAGGAGGGAGAAAACTGACTTTCTGCCGCTCTAGAGACCAGGGCTCAAGGGAGCAATGGGGTCAGATGGCAGGGAAAGAGATTCGATTGAAAAGATGAGGGAGAATTTTCTAAGACTAAGAGCTGCTGGAGAGTGGCATAGCCTGCCTGGGAGTGTGGTAGAGTCTCCTTCTCTGGAGGCTTTTCCACAGAGGCTGTCTATCGTGAGTGCTTGGATTGTGCCTTCTTGCATGGTGGGGGTTGGACTGGATGGCCCTTGAGGGCCTCTTCCAGCTCTAGGATTCTATATCAGGAGTAGGAAGTACGGGGTCTAACGGATACACTTTTTCTCTCCCATTCACCATCTCATCCTGACCAAGGCTAAGCCTTTTGGGATCCAAACGCTTTCCGTCTTCCCTTCTCTTTCTGTTTCCGAAAGAGAAGAGGAAGAGGAGGAAATGACAGGGAGGGGATTTGGGGAGAACCTCCTCTCTCCTAGCCCACCCACCCCACTCCAGTCCACCATGAGGCCCCCAAGTTAGAAAGTTTACCCATGCACACATACATATATCCCACTTCATCCTTCCTTAGTTCCCCTCTCTCTGGAACTTTTGGCTGCTTATCCTTCTAACTATCATGTAATCTTACCTTCTCAGTTATATTTATGTAAAACATTTTGAGAAGCTATGGTGGCATTCCTGCATAAT